ATGGCCCTGTGCCTCTCTTGCATGCTGCCAAAATCCATGGCTGAAGCAAAGGGCAGTGACTTTGCCCCAGGGGCTCACAGCCACCCAGTCCAGCAGTAGTGAAGACACTCACATGTGTCACAGTCTGAGGCACTGGCACCCACAGAGGGGAAGAGTGAGCTCAACGAAATCCATAGCTGAGCTGGAGCCAGGACTGGGGTGGCCTTGACCAAAGAGGAGATGGCTTGTGAATGACAGGCAAGGGACTTGCTACTGCTGGTGACCTAGTCATTCTTCAGTGATCAAAAGGCACCTCTGGGCTCTAGAAGCAGGAGGTTCTACTCTGGACAGATGGTGGCAATTACGGTTTGGGAGGCCAGGGGAAGGGCAAGTTTGCTGGCTGGGTGCTGTGAAGGGACCTGGAATGTAGGCTTGCTGGATGTGACTCCCTAAGCTTCCAAGTTAAAATTACAAAACCTTGTATGCACGTGTGTGTGAGTGGGTGTGTGAGTGTGAGTGGGTGGTGTTGGGGCTCAATCCCACATTCAAATCCTTATGCACCATAGGCAGAATACAACTTTCTTTTTGTTCATTTTCTCTGGTCTACCAAATGGGCACATGGCTCGAAAACCCTTTTTTCTAGGGAGCTGTGGTGTTGGCTTTCTGTAGGTGAGCTCTCAGGAGGTCCCTCTTGGGGCTATATGGAAGGTAAATCCCACTTGGCCCAGGGGCCTGACGTCCTGCACAGGGGACTTCTGGCCTGCCTTGACTGTACTCTGCCTGATTCTTTTCCTTTTGTAGGGCCCTTGTCAGTCCTGTGCTGAAGGAGCTAGGAAAGGCTTCAAAGCCTGGTAGAGGACCAAGCTCATGGGTATCAGGGCAGAAGTAAGAATCGAGGGGTGGACGGGACTCTGGCAGCTGACAGTCTTTTCTTCTGGGTGTCACTGATGCAGAATGTTGGTTTTTGACAATTTAGCAAGCCGTGTGTTTATGAGCTGTGTTCTTTCCTATATGTCAATCATGTGTCCACAGAGTCTACCAAAGAGAAAGGAATTCGCCCACATTGATATTTGGGCTTGGGGGGAAATAAACTGACAGTGGTTTTTTTGTTGTTGTTGTTTTGTTTTGTCTTGGCTCGCTCTCTTTCCTTCCTTCCTTCTTTTTTTTTTTCTTTGTAAAAACAGGTTGACCAAGTAAAAGATGAGAAACTCAAAGCTCTGAGCGATTAGGGGACACTTTAATGGAGGCTACATGTTATGCCATTAGAAAAAAAAAATCAATCTTTGTCCCTAAAAAACCCCTCATTTGCTCTGTGTGTGTGTGTGTGTGTGTGTGTGTGTGTGTGTGTGTGTGTGTGTGTGTGTGTGTGAGAGAGAGAGAGAGAGAGAGAGAGAGAGAGAGAGAGAGAGAGAGTTACTTTCTAGGAATGGATCCGATCCCAAGACCTTGTGTATGCTAGCCAACAGATAGACACTACTAGATACTACCTAGCTTCACTTCAGACCTCTCACAAACAGGAATCATGCACCCCCCCCCCCCCCCCCCCCCCCGCTAGGAAGGAAGGCCTTCAGATTGACTAACCACGGAATGCACACATGGAGACTGGGATGGCTCCCTGCAGGGGTGATCACCCATCTCAGGGGACTTGGAAAATGCATCTCTGTTATCTGGTCCAAGGCACCCTTGGGCCACCACACACTACTGACAGGCCAAGCCGCTATGAATGCTTTCTTGAAACTCAGCTACCCTGGCACTAACCCTCAATACATCCTGCAACGGAGGTGGCTTGGCTGGAAACTGAGGCCATGCTCCTGTTCCTGCATCAGATGTCTCCAAGGTGCAGAACAGGGACCTGGAAGGATTTCTCAAACAGTAGAGCTCGGAGCCTGCTGCCTTTGCACAGGCCTCCACCTGAAGAAGGAAAGCAAGCCTTGGCCAGGTCCTCTGCCCTGATCTCTCCAGCCTTGGAGCTTCTGAGCTCTTTGAACCTCCCCATGATGCCCCTTCCCTTGCCAGGACAGATCTCTTAGGCAGTGTCTGCCTTGCCTAGACACCCATGGGGGTACACACCACGGATGTTCAGGCTTAGGTATTTGTGGAAGGTTGCCGACATCATGGACTGACTGATGGCTGGCTATGACCACCGGCTATGGCTCCTGGCCCATTCAGTGAGTAGACACAATGCTGCTCTTGGAGCATGGAGACTGTGGCATGGGTGTCAGCTCTGCTGTCCTGTTTCTCACCTGCACGGAGAACTATTTCTGCTAACCCTGCTCTTCTGGTTACTGCAGAACAGGGTCACTATGAGATGCTGGGCAGTGCTGGCTGGGCATGGGGAGGACAGGAGAGGACATCTGAGCACAGAGGCCTGGGCCATCCATCTGAGGAGCAGCTGTGTGGGAAGCAGAATGCCTCATGGCCATCTGGGTTGGAGCTTGCTCTCAGGCCCTGGATCCATGATGCTGATTTCTCTGGTTATCTGTGACAGGGACATGGGGCTGCCATGCCTGCTGGGGTAGTTCAGGCTAAGGATACAGATGCAAGCCTGGGTCAAGATGGGAGCTACCTATCTCGGCCAAGGCCATTTCTACAGCAGTCCAGGGCCTCTCCCCATCAGCACCCCCCAGTGCCCTCCGAGCCAGGGATCTCCACTCTCCACCCAGAAGGGGTTCTGGCTGGTTCTGCTCTTGGAGGTTCTGAAGGCGTCAGACAATGCAGAACACTGGAAGGGAAAAGCCACCCTCATCTTCTGAACAAATGGGGGATAAAATGGGAGTTCAAGCCTTGCCTCACCTGATGGCTGGTGGTTGTGGACAGCCAGAGCCAGCTGGGCCTCCACACACTGTGAATGATGGCTGAGCAAGGTAACCAGCTAGTTTGGTGAAAAGGCCCAGCTGTTCCTTCCCTTGTTTCTCTTTCCCCAGAAATTGTCCTGGATGAGATTAGTCGTTTCTTCCAGGAGGTGGGGACACAGGGTGGAGACAGGGAGCAGGAAGGGCATTCAGTGGCAGCCAGTCAAAGCAAGTGCTGAGGGGCCAGCTTCCAGGCTTGACACTCAATCCCGATTGCATTGCCCCTCCCCCATTCTGTCTTTTGAGACAGTCTCACATTATAGTCCAGCTTGGCCTCAAACTTGAGGCAATGCCCCTGCCTCAGCTGCTCACGTACCACGATTTCAGGTATACACAGCCACAACAGCTTAGAGTAACAATTCAGTAGGACAGTGGAGATCAGCTCTGAGGACAGGCTGGGGTCTGTGGGGGCTGACAATGATATCCACGTCATCAAGCCTCCCAGAGAAACTGGGGAACTTTCTCAAGGTCACACAGCACTAGGTGTGTTAGACCAGGGCCCACACACTCACCCTGGGGCCATTCTGACTGCCTCCTTCCATCCTTCAGCACTGTCTCTGTGATTTCTTTAGGGTAGAAGGGACTCAGGGGACAGATAAAGCAGAAGTATCCAGTGGGGAGGTGGTATTGGGCTGTTTTCTGTGGGTATTGGGGCTGTATTGAATCCTTTTCAGAGGGTCCAAGTGCCTTGCTGGTATAGGCCCTGCGGATGGGACAGCCTGTTTTCAGCTCCTGTGGGCCACTCAGGAGGACCCTTCTTCCTGCTGCCTGTTTTGGGTGGTTGCAACTTGAGCCTGATCCACAGACAGACATGGCAGAGCAGTGCAGGTCTGATTCCTCTGCTGGGAGCAGCGATAGAGGATGGGTCTGACCTCCAGACTGGGTTCCAGACTGTGGCTGAGCAGGGCCAGGTGGGGACCCAGAGAGACAGCAAGCAAATCCTCAGAAGCTGCAGTCTGCAGTGGAGAGGCCGGGGATCTGCAGCGAAAGCCGCCGAACAGGAGGAGGAGGGGCGATTTCAGCCCCTGGGCTGCATCTCTGGCACTGGCTGAAGAACTCTGGCTCAGTGGCTTCCCCAGAAGTCACCCCTGGCAGCACCACGTCTAGAGAATGGACAACTGAACTGCTTTGAGCTCTCAAAACCTGTGGCGCAAGGCATGGTGGCCCTCACCTGTAACTCCAGCAGTTGGGAGGCCGAGGCAGGACGACTGCCATGAATTCAAGGCCAGCCTGGACTAGAGAATGAGATTGTCTAAAACCAAACAAAAGCACTGAATCCTGCCAGGCATGGTGGCACACGCCTGTAATCGCAGGCTTGGGAGGCTGAGGCAGAGAGGCAGGAGGAGAGTGTTTAGGGCCAGTTCCAGGCCATTCTAAGCTATTTAGCATAACTTTGTAAAAACCAACCAAACCAACAAAATGTGCTTCCCGTCTCCTCCCACAGCAACAGGGCTGGGTGTCTCCCTCAGCACAGGACAGTGGAGGCATTTCCTTTCATGAAAAGGTGGAAGAGGGGTGGGTGGGGCAGCAGGAAACTTGGTGGGGGCAGGGCTCTTCTGAGCAGGACACAGACTGGGTGCCCAACCTAGTGTGCTATCTGCATAAGCCTTTGGGACCTTCCTAAACATTAAGCTGGATGTCTCCCATCCAATCTGCCATGCTCTGCTAAGGACAGTGAGGGGCTTCACTCAGAACAGATGCCAGATTTCTAGGGATTAAGTGCAACATGAAACTGCTTCAGCAACAGAGGGCACTTAGAGAATCCTGGGCCTGGTGACATCTGAGGAGCACTTCCATGACAAAGGAAGCTCAGGATTCAGGGCCAGGAGTCTCTTGCTCATGCTTCTTCCCCATGGCAGAAAATGGTGCTAATGACTGTGGGTGGATCACCTCATTGCACCCACCCACAACGGGAAAAAAATCTCTGAGGAAGAGTAGTGTGTGTGTGACTTTGGATGTTTCCATCTGGTCAGGATTCCGGGTCTGGGCAACTCTGCCCAGGATGCCCTGTGCTGAAGCCCCTAGGAAAAGGGGTCCCAGTGGATCAGGCAAGCAAATCCACCCCGAAACCTAACAGAGGTGGGTCGTATCTCTGAAACTTGATCACCAAAGTTCCTCCAGGGACCTGCTGCTGAAGCCACAGTCAAGAAGACACACACCATCCTCCAGTTCACTTGAACAGACATTTATTGAGCACCTACCAAGTGCAAGGCACTGTTAGGTGCCACAAGAAATACAGAGTGACCATATGGTCCCTGCCCGCGAGGAGCTCACAGTCTAGAGGGAGGCGACACAGTACACAGTTGGCTGCAGCTACACCTGCCAGAGTGGCAAGAGCCAGAAGCGAGACGCCAAGTGCTGTGGGGTCACAGAATACCACAGGGCTGCTTCTGTTCAGAGTACAAAGACGACTCAGGGCCGGGCCTTTGAGGAGGGAGGCTGTAGGGCAGAAGGGCATTTCTAAAAGAGAAATAAGCATGGATAGGGCCCACTGGCACCCAGAGCTGGGTGGCTGGAGTGAGCATCATGGCAGGGGATAAAGTCAAGTATAGCCATGGGGCAAGAGCCATGGACACTAGGCTCAGAGGGTAGGAACTGGCGTTCTGGTCGCAGCTGTAGATGACTGAAGAGGAAGAGGATGACGTAAAATGGTCTTCTAGATGAACTTGGAGCCCTGTGGAGTCTGGGAGAGGGGAGAGCTGTAAAGTGGCCTAGTGTTGAGGGACCAATGAGGGACCAGTGTCATGGGGGATGGTGGGAAGTTGGTGGGCAGTAGCAAGCCAAGGGCCACGAGGGCTATAAGGGACCTCTCAGGGATAGGTGAGAGAAAATGACAGAATGGAGGCCGAGGTTCTGAGAGTCAAGATCCCACAGGGCTAGTGACAGGAGAGTGTCACCACAGCGGATGGTGGCATTAGGGAAGAGTGGTGACTCCTAGAAGCGCAGCTTCTGAAAATGCAGTTCCAGACCACCAACTGGGAGCCACTCAGGGTGTGCGGAAGTGACAAGCCCCCGGGCTTTCCTCTAGAGCAGAGTCCACACCTCAGGGTGCTGCTGGGTAACCTGCACCTTAGCAAGGGCTGCCCTTTCCACTGTGAGTCTAAGGGTGGCCCAGTTTGAGAACCACTGGTTGAGAAACTGTATGAAGGACTGGCCTTCAAGAAGAAAGGAATGAAGAAGGAAAACGGAAGAAACAAGGCCAATGGCCTCACTGTCTGTAGCTACTACATTAGCAATGAAACAGCAACCAGTGATTTCTAGGCCACTCTCACGTGGTGGACAGAAGCCAAGTCTGCAAACCGGGGAGTGGAAAAGTGGGAAGGCAGAGTGAAGCATTACCAACAAAATGCAGGGTGTTTTATCATCAGAATCAAAGGTACTGGGTGGGGACTAGAGGGCGGCGGTAATGCCAGTGACCAGTGCAACTGACGGACCCAGCTGAGATGGCTCAGAAGGTGAGCATGGGGCAGCACTGGAAGAGATAGGGAGGCAGGCTAGGCCCTGGCTGAGCCTGGTGCAGAGGGCACAGGGTCTGCACAGTTGCTCCTACCGGGGGAGGGGCTAGGTACTTGGCAGTGGCAAGAAGGGGTGGAGTCCTCTTTTCTTACACATTCACAAACCTATACAGACACAACTTCATCCTGTCTCACAGCAAGACCCAGTAACAATGCTGCCACCACACTGGACCAGGACAGCTACGGCAACACACACATGCACGCGTGCATGCATGCACGTGTACAGAGACTGTAAGTTCATCAGCTACACTAGCTACTTATCCTTTCAACCTCTGTAAGCATCAGACACCTTAACCAATGACCAAAATTATCAGCCTCAGCTACGCTGACCACCTCATCCAAATGTCAGGATACACAGGAGGCAGAGGCACTCCACATAGGGAGGAACGCCAAGACACTCCCAAGTTCACTGTGGAGGCACTGAGGGATAGAGGTTGAGCATCTACAAGCACCTAGCGCAACAGAGCTTGGGATGAGGCAGAGAAGCAGGTTGTGAGCTTCCTTCAGTGGCTAGATAACTGGGCTTTAAATGCTACACCTAAATGTGATGGACTTCACAAAGAATCTAGAATTATATTCACATTATAATCTACAAAGTAATTAATGCCTCTCGGTTTCCTCCAACTTCTTCTTCCCTCCTATATGGAGGAAGGGGAAATGGGTAGGTATCTCAGAAACAATACTAAGAACACAGAGGCTCACACAACTCGAAGTCAGACTGCCTGTGGAGCTGAGGAAAGCCCGTGCTCCTCCCTGCCAGCATCAGGATGAGGCACCTGCGGAGCACCCCAGCTCTCCTGGTTCCCAGGAATGCTGGACCAGGACTGAGTAGACCAGGAGGCCCTGGGGACAGCTCCACCTTGGCACCTTTGCTATGCTCCGAAGCTAGGGCACAGGGTGGGGGGCTGTGGTGGGTCTACCCTTGGACCTTGCCAAAAGTCTTTGTTTTCTACTTACACAGGCTGCAGGTCTCAAACCCCCAAGTGACAGATGATACACAGCTCCCCAGCAGGTTGTATCATCAACGAATTCCGGAGAACATGACTGAAGTATAAGTGTGTGGCCACCTAGAAAGCTCTGTGTTCATCTCCTGAGGGATGCAAGGATCAAATGAAACCAAGATACACACATGGTGACAGCATCCTGTGATCTACACAGTCCCTGCACCATGGAGAACAAACCAGCACCAAGTCCTTGGTTACTATTGTGGGACCAGGAGAAAGACACAATCTACAGGGCAGCGGGGTGACCATGAGGGCCGGGAGACAGCACGGATGGAAAACACAAAGCCCTTTAAAGGTCTAGGTCAGAGTCAAGATGCTAAGAAGGACCAGGAAAGGTTTCTCAGACACTGAGTTCAAGCCACATTGAGAAGAGACAATACTGAGTAGTAACTGGTTCTGAAAGACTCAGGAAGAGCTGCTGAGAGACCTCTAGAAAGACAAAAGAGGGAGCTAGCAGGGCTTTGAGACCCCTTCTGAAACTACTAATGCTATTAATTGGCTTGGGTCATCCTTGAGAATAGAAAACTTTTTGGCAAAGCTGTACAAACTCCACATGGGGTCTTTCCCATACCTGTGGGCTGGGGACTCATGCTGGCCACAGTAAGGGATTCCACACCAGAATCTCCAATCCTACCTCACCTTCTGAGGCTACGGTAGCTATGGAGTCAGGGTGGGAGCATGGCGGCCTTGGCTGGTGAGTGCATTAAGGAGCTAGGCCAGTCAGGGAGTATGCTGGGACTCAGTTCCCTTCTCTGTCCAGCGGAGGGGAAGAAGATGGGGCTGAATGGACTCTGAGATGTCTCACCCTGCTCTTCTGAGTCTTTGTCTTGTCACTGATTACAGTCAGGCACAAGTGCCATCTGGTGGCTCCACTTCTCTACTCTCACAGTGGCCTGCTGAGAAGACCCACAAGAATAAAGCAGGCCAACTCCAAGGAGGAAGGCAGGGGTGCACACACCATGTGAGTGGACAGGACAGATCACCTCAAGAAAATATACTTTAAGAGGTCTTGCTTTCCTTAAGGAAGCAACTCCTTTTTTTTTTTTCTTTTTTAATTTTATTTAGAAAGGCTAACCATATTCATTTGTCAATTTTTCTTCAGCTTTAAGGAAAATAGTTTAAAAAACATAAAATTGTAAATACACTCAAGAGTAACTGCTATGAAACAGTTCTGAACAGGCAGAAAATGTACTTTCCTTTACAGAAAATGTTAAATCTGTAATAGCAGCATAATTTATATATAGAAAAAAGCTGGCTTTGAAAATCCAGATTTTTGTATACATAAAACATCTTCCTTCCTCCTTTTCCTATCCAGCACAGCAATGTTCACTCTGGGAAGGTTCTTCCCACTATGGTAGTTCCCAGAGTTGGCAGCTCCCTCTGGCCCCCAGCATCAGTGGGCTCTCAGCCCAGCCTTCAGTCCAATACGAGGGCAGAAAGGGCATTCAGGTCTTTCATGTAGGGATGAGCTATCAGGATCTGGTCGATCTTCAGTTTTTGCTCAGAGTCAGGGAAGATCTTCAGCAGGGCCTCCCTCAGCTCGCTGGTCTCCGCAGAAGATCTCTGTGCTGGCATGAGAAGGTTCTGCTGTATACTGGGAAGGGTGGCCAGGGGTGTGAAGTGGGGCTGCTGAGGAAGCCAAGAGCTTGAAGAGGCTCCCTGGTTGCGGGAAGGAGGCTGGTGGCTGGTGTTGACTACCTGGGTGTTGGGGCTCCGGAAGCCAGGGTCAAACGTGTCCACATTTGGCAGGGCATTGAGTAGTGGCTGCATGTCTCTGTGGATGAAGGGATTATGGTGAGAGATGCAGGAAGAAACCCTTCAAAGCACCTATGGCACACACTGAGGGGCTACACGCGAGTTCCATGGTTTCTGAAGGCTACAGGCCGGAGAGCCATGGGGAGGTGAAATCAGCCCCCACAGAGTGGCCTATAGGGCACTGGCACCATTTCCAGACCCACGAGGGAACAAGCACCCCTAGGACGGACAGCCCCTTCCCAGTCTGCTGTCTGAGGGCAGGCCACAACTGTTGCTTTTGAAAGGTTCCTGCTCTTTTGCAGGTATTGATTTTGGGCAGTGTCAGCTGACAGACCTGGGGAGAAGCATCCCCTGGGCAAAGAGGCAACTCCACCAGGCTCATGGAATCCCTGTCTCTAGTGAGTCTGGCTGGGGCATGTGTGCCCTCAAAGCATATGCACACGGTGTTGTATGTGCACCCAGGGGACACCTGCCCTGCTTAAAAACCCACTGATTCTAGCTGTAGTTGAGAACTGGGGCTAACAGTGTCACTAACTTCAGAAGTTCAACAGGCTGCAAAACCTCCCAAACCTCCAAAACAGCATCCTCTCATGAGAGAGCGAGGCAAGTGCCACCAAGCACTCTGAAGACTACGTGACAGGGGAAATGACCAGCAGGCCTGACTCTGCCACCAGGCCACTGAAGGAACAGAACAGGTAGCGAAGAATCCACCTTTAGCTTGACCCGGGCCTCGGCTCAGCATAGGGCCTATGCAGCCTCAAACACAGGCCTTGAGGCCTGAAATGTTACCGGGATTTCCAATGTAAGACGTGGGATTGGGGGGTGAGCTAGACAAGTGTACAGCAGGCTGCCACTTCGGTGGTGTGGACAGATAACCCTGTCTGAGTTAACACCTCAACTGTGTGTAAAAACCAAAGGCTCACAGAGAAATGATCACAAGGTCAGGAAGCTCCAAGTGTGCTGGTCTCCATTCTAGGAGATCCCTGGGTGAAAATCAACCCATCTTGGTGCACCATCAAGTTCAAACTGATGGTCCCAAAGGCTCATGCTATAAATGACGACTAGCAGCCTTGAAAGATGGGAGAGAGTGTGCCTTCTCTTTTCAGGTACCCAGACCAACTCCATGCAAAAACCTGCCAGGAGGTCCACAGAAATACAGCTGGTTTTGTTTTTAAAACAAGAGAAGGTCTGCCACTGGGTTTGTATGAAGAAGGCTGTGGTTAACAAGGTCACCTGAGAATTCTGAACATAGAAATAACCTCTACCTGCCAGTGTCAGACAAATAAGCAGGCAGGCTTTCCCATTCAGTGATGATAAACAGTAGCTGTCACCCCCCCTCCCCCTCCCCCTCCCCCTGCAATGATTCCTAAGCAGAACACACCAGCACTGCACTCAGAACAAAGGACTGCAGAAAGTACCTGGGAAAGAATCCCACACAGTGAACCCAGGCAGCAGTGACGGACAAGTGACCCCTGGCTTGAAAACCAGCTTCTTCTGAGGCCCTCAGAATGTCTGTGTTCTCTTAGGAGTAAAATGAAAAGGAGCCCCACACAGGGCAGGCCTAGACCCCAGGCTGAAGGATCAGAGTTTGCACTCAGCCAGCCGACACAGAGGAAACAGTCTAAGGCAGGCAGGTAGGCAGGCCAAACCAAACTGAAAAAGACCACACTGAAGATTAGCCTTGGGGTGCCCGACTGGCTTCTCCATCCGTCACATATCACTAAGTCTAATTAAGGCGTGAAACAAAATTGAAGACCATTTCTAGTTTTCAAGGACAGCACTTGTTCCAAAGCACAACATTTGGTTAAAATAAAAAACCTTTGACATACAAGGGAGTACACAGAAATACCTAAGAAAGCCCTCCTTGCGAAGAAATTCTTCTAGCCGAGGTCCGTTTCTCCCCAGAGGGTCGTCAGGAACCATAAATATGTCCCCCACGAACGTGTACTGAAGCAGTCTACAACACAGAAAGCCACAGTGCTGACCGTCAGGACCCTTCACTGCTGGAGGAAACGCAAGTTCTCAAAGGGGCCACCCCATGTGGGGGCAGTCGTCAGTCTAAAATCTCTGGCTGCTAACTGAGGAGAAGCAACCCATATGCAAGTGAATCCGTTTGAACTTCTGTTGTAGACACAGTCATGCGAGAAGCTGCTTTCCTCAGCTGCCCACAGATCTCCTCCAGACGCCAGCCAGATACTTTCTACCAGGTGAGCAAACACGATTAAAGACATTCTGCTTGGGACTCAGCAGGTGTGCCAAAGCGAAACTGAAAACAAGTGTGTTCACAGGCAAACCTCTGCTTTTTAAAAGTGAAAACAACATCCTAGGCAGAGAAACCCAAGGGTGATCCAGCATTACTCATCCAGGACAGGGGACCTGGGCCTTCTCAGCAGGAAAGTCTTGCCAGGCACACCAGAGGCCATGGGGTCTAGCACCGTACAAGACATAAAGAACTATCTGGCGATGGCGGTACCTGCTTTTAATCCCGGGACTCCAGAGGCAGGAGAGGTGGAGCCTGCCAGGGCTACACAGTGAGCTCCCGTCTCAAATAAATGAATACATAAAACTAAATTCAATCACAAACCCTAGTAGCTAGGTCTGTGGGGCACAGTTTGGTTTCCGAGTTGCTTCTGTGGGGTCTGAAAGCAGTGGGTTGGTTTGAGCCTCCTTGTATGTAGAATCGAGTCTAACACACACCACAGTGTCAGAGAAGTTCAGCAACTCATCAATTGTGCCCAGGTCAAAGGTCAACTCTCCTCTACCCATCACCAAGACCTTTTTAGCAACACAGGGCTCAAAATGTGTGAAGTAATTCATTTTCATCCAAGAGTTTGCAGCCAAGCTTTCTCTTTCTCTTCAACATTTAGTGACATTGTTTTATTTGTGTGCCTGCAACTTTCCTGAGCCCACTACCCTGGCAAGCGCATGGTGAGGTAAAACGCAAACAAGAAGTAAACAACCAACTTCCCATCAAAGCAAAAAAGAAAAGATTACCTCCTTGTAATAATTTCTCTCCAGGACACTGACTCAGTCACAAACTCTCTGAAGTTATCATTTGTTACAATTATACCCCCAGTCTTGTCCGCTAGGTGTAGTAGGAACCTATGGTAACAAGAGAGTTCAAAATGAGCAAACAGCATGCTGGCTGGGAGAAGCTGTGCTAAAGAGATGAAAGGGTTTCCTCTTCTTAAGAAAATAGCCAGTTTAAACAAGGCTGGACACACAGAAGTAGGTCCCTGTCAACTGAAGATGGATAAGTGATGAGTATCTCTGGAATTATAAGTGTGATTATAAAACAACTTTTTTTATGCAATCTAGTCATACAAAAATGATTTCAACTATGATTCCTACATTTTCTATCAAAGATCCACCAATAAACTGTGGTAACAATGCATGAAGACTTGAGCAGAGGACAAGTTAAAGGTAACAGACCTATGAAATCTTTCAGCTTTCAGCTGCTCAGCTGGCTGAGTTTACTTCAATGTTAGTTGACAGTCAGCTTTGCAATTAAAAAAAAAAAACAATTCATTTTCTGCTTCGCTTTAAGAAGACATCATCAATTTGGCCTATATATAGACATTTACTGGGCGATGAAAGGACATATGGTGATGATGTGGTGTTTGCATTCTTAAAACACAGTTTTAGTCATGCTGGGATCAAACTAGGGGCCTGGTGCCGTAGGCAAGTGTGAGTGAGGGCGCAGTAAAGCACCACCAAGATGACTGCTCTGGGGCTGGATGGCGGCGAGAGAACAGCCAGGGGCATCTGGAGGAGTCCGGAGCAGAGAGAGAGAGAAGCAGACTGGCCATGGTCAGGGCTATTTCTCAGATGGGGCTGGGGAGTAGGGGTCAGTGGAGATTTGACACAGAGAGAAGCTGGAAAGAATGAATATGGAGAGAGGGGTGGCTTGCCATTCTGAAGAGAGTGAGACCAGCTTGGGAGCTAGCACAGTGGAGGGGAGGGGAGAAGAGTGAGTTTAACATGGGGGCTCTGATATTCATAACATGGACATGTTACTGGAGACTGGAGGACCCCAGGTTAGCTTGGGGTTTGCTAGGTAACCACAGGCATAGCCAAGGGAAGTGGCCCTTTCTGGTAGGCAGGAACGCTGTATATGTGAGCTTTTCTCTGAGAGAAGTTCTTCTATAGTCCAGCTTGAGAGAGCAAAGACTGCCATTTTGGGGTCACTCACTGCCTTTTGGAGAACTGGGGACCCTTTTGGACTCTATCACTGAACTCCCAGCCCTGTGTTTGAGAGACAGGGTCTTAAGTCTCGCAGGTTGGCCTTGAGCTAAGTAGGTGAAGGTCACCCTGATCTTCTGGTGCTGGGATTCCAGGTGTGGATCATTACACCTGGCTTATTGGGTGCTAGGAATAGAACACAGGGTCTCATGTACATGGTGATGAAGGAGTAAGAATTAAATAAGAAAGAATTTTGTTTTGTTGCTGAAGAGTATCCCTGTTTAAACCCTCTTAAAATCTTTATGAGTAGCCAGGCATTGTTGGTGCACACCTTTAAGACCAGCACTTGGGAGGCAGAAGCTGGCAGTAATCTGTGAGTTCGAGGTCAGCCTAGTCTACACAGTGAGTTCTAGAACAGCCAGGGCTACATAGTGAGAATCTCTCTTAAAAAACAAAACAGAACAAAAACTGTGAAGATACTGGAGATGCTATTTCTAGACTAGGAACAAGATAGTGAAACGAAACACGCTCCTGGGTCCGAGGTGCAAACGGCTGTTCTTCTGGGCAGGGCAAGGACTCCTAACCAGGCCTTAACTCCAGTTTCCAAGCTTAGGAACCTTGGAAAGTCGGTTTTGTTTTGGTTTATTTTCTCACCCCCCCCCCCTCGAAAGGAACTCAGGAACGTATTCCAGGGTAGCTAAGGATTCACTATGCACTGAGATGACTGTGAATTCCTGAGCCTTCTGCTTCTGCCTCTAAAATGCTGAAATTACAGGTTTGAGCCACCACACTTGGCTGAGTTCCTTATTAATGAACATTTCAGTTTACTTCTAAAGGGCATGAATGCCAATGTGCTTTCGGTCCAGACGTCAGTAAAAGTAGATAGTGAGGCCCACCAGGACACCCAACTATGTTCTCTGAAACCCATGAGTCAAGGTGAAGCTTCACCTGCATGTCTATGCCTGGGTCTGAATCCCCTGGTTGTGAGAAGAGAGCTGTGGTGATAGAAAGCTGCAGGCTTTTCCTGGGCCTACTGGTCTAACTGCTTTTTCTCCGGAGCACCCCAGGGTTCCTGAGCCTGTGGTAGTTCAGACCAGAAATGCCCTTCCAGGACAGATTCCTAGGACTGCTCCGAACTCATGTGCTGCCCTCTCCCAGCTCTTCTCACACCTGGATGTGTCCCATCTAACCCCGTTTCTTTCAGTGAGTGAATGTTGGTAGTGGCCCTAAGTCACTTCTGTCCCATTCAACCACAGACCACCGTGGGTAATGTAAAGCAGTGCTCGCACTGGGAAGATGGACAGGATATGGAAATGGACAGGATAATGTAGAGAAGGAACAGACGAGTCAGCCCCAGGCCCCCAGACGCCATGCTTGTGACCACTTACATGGCAGCACCAGAACAGCTGTAAAAACTACATAGCACTGGGTAGTCTTGGAATCAAAATTCCTCCTTTTGGGGGGTGAGGATTTCACCACGTAACCCTGGCTAGCCTGAAACACAGACATCCACTCACATCTATGATCTACATATTGAGTTCCAGGCCAGGGCTGCATGGTGAGACCCTGCCTCCAAAAAAAAGGAAAACCAACTACATGTATCTGTCTTTTCTCACCTCAGACATGCTTTACTAATTAAACAAAACCAAACCTAACACAATAGTGTCTTTGGTACCATTCCTAACCTCAGGGTGCATGAGCCTAGTAGTGACCTTGATCACAAGTTTGAAAACTAAGCCAAGCAGGTTCCTTCAGTGCACACCTGTTTGGTGGCAGGTAGCTGCCTCCTCACCACCCCACTCCCACCTTGGGAAGGAAAACAGCCCTTCATACCTGTCATCATGAGAAGCAATTCTTTCTCCAAAGACCATCCGGGCAGGAGTTAAAGATAATATTCCAAGCTCCTGGAGCTGGGTTAAGAAGTGCTGTTCTGTTCGTGGAAGAAGTTGATATGTATTCAGCAAAGGCTATCTTCCCAGATGTGTAAATAAATGAATGCAAACCCAAATATTTAACTTGGGGACTTGCAGAAAACCTTTTTTCCTACTGACTCAATTTTACTAACTCACCAGATGAAGAAGAAGAAAAAAAAAATCAAGTAAGACTCACACTCAGGCAAATTCTACATATGAACCGACTGGGTAGTTTTTAAACAACCAACCAACCAACCAACCAATGTTAAACTCATTTGCCTCTTTAGCCTATAATTAATTAATTCTGCCCCCAAGAACTTTTCCAAAGGTAAATATTACAAGTGGATACATAACAAGAAATGACAGGAGTCCCCCAAAGAGTGGCAGTGGGGAGGAACAGACTGCTTTGCTCCAGTCAAGGAAGGCTGTGTACTCCCGAGCCCGAGTGCAGCCAGCCCCCTCTCCTAATTACTCTCAGTTGTCTGTACAAGTCTTTACTGATTGTCACAGGCAGGAGTAGTGACGGAACGGAGGGCCGATGCTGTACTGTGGAAAAGCAGTCACAGGCGAGAGAAGCTGAGAGCTGATGCATAAGATCCCTGGGTTTGCATTTCCTACCAAAGCAGCTGCCAGTGACCTGAGCTGACCTGCCCAAATTGGGGGTTTCCTACCTCAGAGCTGCCCAGTGTGTATGCACTGAGACTTAACTAGAAAAGGAGTGAATCGGCCTCGCTCCGTGTGGATAAAGGAAGCTGGGGACACTCCGGAGCGGAGTGGCTTCAGCGCTTCCACCTCCCTAGTAACTAAATGTCACTTCCTGTCTCTGTACTGACGAATCTATAAGCACATGTGTCGTCCCCTCCCCATGTCACCTTTGCTTTCTAGGTGCCCTCATGTACTCTGCCTGCCACAGCCCTTTCACCTTGTCTCTGTGATGGCCTAAGACAACCACCACCTCACAGTTCTCTGGATGTCTCACACTGCAGTTCAAACCTCTGTGTGGGGCCTGCAGGTTATGCCGTATGTAGTGTACGGCAAACAGAAAGGATTCCGAGTAAGCCATCAGATTACTGAAAAGATGTATCTGGAGGCACAAAACTGACCAAGCAACTATTTTAAAAAATACCCTTTAAATATGCAGAAGTCCGACCTAGTGGAGACACGCCCTTTCTAACAGCTCTACTAGCCTTCCACCCTTCCTAACCACTCTCAATTACACTACAATACTCCTCAACTGATAGGTGTGTCTAGGCTACTGCGGAGCCAAGGATGGCTTTGGTCTTCCTGCTCCATCCTGAGTGCTGACATTACAGGTGTGGACCACCACACCGAGTTTTCAATTGCTATTTTACCAGACAGAACCAATTTAGAATCTCATCATCCAAGCTGTTGCCCATGTGCACGATTCTATTCTAATTGAAATGTGTTGAAACGAAGACAGTTCATTAAATATCTAACCAGAAATATGGAAAAGTCACTGGGCCTCACCTGTGACATTAGGATCTCGCCTTGTTCTCCACTGTGGGACAAACACAGTGATATTTCTGTTGCCAAGCTTCCAAAAATACTCAACTGCAATCGCTATTCCACGGCAGCTAAAGAACTTTTTCAGACCATGGCTGGAAGGAAACAAGGACATTTTCGTTCAGGTTAAAGCATATGTAAAGCCCAAGTTTTACCACAGACGAGAACAGTCACGCACAACAGAATCAGTATAAACATGCTTTTACTTTGCAAATTTGTTGTACGTTTGCTACTTTGCAAGGCCAAGTCAGACCCGCTGACTGAGTCCTTCCTGTATCTTAGAGTCTTAGGTCTTCTCCTTGTCTTTGACAAACTGGGTACGCTGTTTTGGTGGAGGGTGGCAGGCTTGCTGTAATCTTTGTTTATTACCAAAGGGGTTTAAAGCACATCCTATTGAAAAAAACTACTACTCTTTCTAAGTTCTGTCTAATCACTGGCCTCTAAGAATTTTATCTTTTTTTGAGTGTGGTCTTTGTATGTCATTGAAGCTGACTAAAGCAGGTGATCCTCCTGCCTCAGCCTCCTGGAATCTCACATTACTGGTGTATACTTCCACATCTGGCCTAATGTGATTATAGAGTGACTATCCTGGTGGGGTTTTGTTGCTGTCTTGGTTTGCTGCTGGATTAGGGATCAAACTCAGGTCCTCACACATGCTAGGTCAGTACTCTACCACTGGGCTTCACTACCAGTGTCCTGAGAATTTCTTAGGAATGTAATCACAGAATTTGTTGCTCAAGCAAAGACAGTTCAGTAGCTGGCACAATCCCTGTGCTGTGCCTGCCTATGGTTGAGGACAGGGATAAAGATGTGACCCTACTGCCACCACCACAGTGCCCAATGTCACTGCTACCTCTGGAGGGTAGGTGGGTGCACAACCCACTTGCCAGGGAACTGATAAGCTCCCGAGTTTATAACTCATAAAAAACAAGTTTCAAATGAAACTATCTAGGACCATGGGGACATTCTGTACTGAATGAAGCAGAAAGCAGGAAAAGGGTGAACATGTAAGAAACGGGCTAGAACCTGTCAATCTGTAAAGGTCATCATGGTCACTGTCTCACCACTCAATTCTGCTGCAGCAATGTGACAACAGTCACAAACAGCTGTAGATGACAAATATGGCTGAGTTACTACTCCTAAGGCAGAAATGAGGCTGCACCCAGCCCAGTGTGTGACTTCCTGCTCCAGAAGACACACACAAAAATGTACCTCTCAAGTCTGGCAGTACATTTCAAAACACAAAAACAGAAACTGGCTGGAGAGACGGCTCACGCTTAGAGCACTTGCTACTCTTGCAAAAGGGCATGGGTTTGTTTCTCAGCACCCACCTGTGGCTCAAACCATCCGTTACTCCACGGGATCAGAAGCCCTTTTCTGACCAGGCATACACACACACACACACACACACACACACACACACACACACACACACAGAGGCAAAACACACATTAAAAAAAATCGGCTGGCTATATGGCTCCACAGGCCAAAGTACCACACATGCACCATGGAGTGTGCACTCCACACACACAAACACACATAAATAAGTAAATAAATATAATAAAAAATAAATAAATAACCCTTCATTTTTGTCTCAGGCAGTTAAACGGAGGTGGAGGAGAGACGTCCTTCCCACACACATCCTGCCAGGACTGGCTTCCAGGTCCCCTCCACATTTGACAGGTCAGAGGGAACAAGCCAAGGCGAACTTTCCATAATACACACGCCAGCCAGCTCGTGCTCTTGGGTGGTCTTGTTACCCCCCTCCTGGTTGCTAAGTCCCCTTGTGTACCTTCCCTACCAGCCTTCTGAGGGCTCTGTCCAGTCTCCGCGAAGCCCTTCCTGTCTCTCACTTCCTGCCTTCTACTGCGTAGTGCATGACAGAGTGGCCTGTCCCAGGTATGCAGGCAGAGGGTGGATGTGCTGGAGCAGACTCACTGCCCACACCTGGCCAAGACCCTTCCACTATCCCACAGTATGGTGCCAACCCCATCTGCATCCCTGACCCTGGAGAGCAGGAAGGGCTGGATGTAAACTGCTAAGCTGTCAGGAGGTCGCAAAGAGGAGCTCACAAGTTCTCTGTGTTAGAGGATAGAGCCCACTCCTTTTCAGAGACCATAAAAAAGAAACTCGCAGCTGGGCAGTGTTAGCACACCCCTTTAATCCCAGCACTCAGGGGGCAGAGGCAGGCCTAGGTCTCTGTGAGTTCGAGGCCAGAGCAAGTTCCAGGACAACCAGGATGACACAGAGAAACCCTGTCTCAAAAAAACAAAAAGAAAAAAGACAAGAAACTATCAGATCTTATCCCAGAAAACACATGCAAGTAAACAAACCCGCTGCTGATATGGTAAGGATTACCAGTAAGACACTTGTTACTGGTGAAACAGAGGGAGTAACTGGGGTTGTTTTGTTTTTAAAGAATAAGCTATCACTCGAATTGGTTAATACCCAGAGCAGGCCTGGAGTTCAGGCAGTCAGCCAGTCCTAACATGAAGTACGCACACACGCTCCAGTTAACCTGCTTGTCGTCCTCTCCTTAAATGTTCTACTGCCCACAACAGCAGGCGTGGATGGGATAGAGTACCAAGCTCCATTTGCTGGGTCCATGAAGAAAAGGAGGCCAACACAGACGGGACGGATTCTGCTACCCTGGGTACCTTATAAGCTTGCGGGGGAGGGGGAGACAAATTGTTTAAAGCAATAATAAAACAAACAGTTAAACATCCAGAAGCACCAATGCTGTACCAGTTTTCAGTGTTCTCTATGGTGAGATCACAGCAGCTTTCACTTGAAGACTCCAGAGTTAAAAACAGTGGTTCAGGGTTCAGGTTAGTGAATATACAGATTTATCTAGAAAATAAACTACAGAAAAAGGAAATGAGGGCTGGTGTGACCAATATAGCGTGTGTGTGGTCTGAGTTTAAGTCGCAGCCCCAAGCAGGGAGAAAAGAGAGGAGCCAAACTGTTGTCATACTATTATAGTCCAGAAAGAACTCTACTTTTAAGCCTAATGCCCTGGCTGGATAAAGTGTGCTTAATCCTTGCTGCTTCTGGTCTCTGTGATAGAGAGGCTGGTGGGCAGGGAAGTGCAAACCAGTGGTCTACTGTGACCTAGAGAACATATATTCAAACAGCATAGACCATAATACCTTCTACTTTAGGGGCTCCAAATAGACCCCCGCTCCACATGCAGGAAAACACTGAGCCTGGAGGGTAGGCATGTCAACTCTCCAGGGAGATTTGAACTTGTTCCATGCCTCGGGAAACAAGTTAAATTATCTGGCTATTTTTCACATTACAGCAGCTAGTCAACATGTTTAAAACAGAGGAGGGCTGGGTGACAACAGCTAGCTAGCAATGGTTGTCAAAACAGGCAGGGCAGTAGGGAAATATTGTGGAAAGCCCTCTGACTTAACCAGGAAAGCATGGTTTCCTTCTAGCTTCTACTAAATAAAAATAGTCGTGGAACCTGCTACAGAAAGACCGGCAAGCAAAGTGGATAGGACATACAGTTCTGACAAGCGAACGGGCAAACCCTATCTACACAGAAAATCACCAAATCAGGTGCTCTCATGCTGGAGTTTCAGCCACCACTGTGATGTCGCGCCAGACACCGCAAACATTTCCACTGACTCATCACTTGACTCACTCATAGTGGTGACGGGGAGTGTCGGGAGGGGGGGGGGACAAACTGAAAACACACATAACCAGCAGCACAAGGCAGCTATTTTGGAGCTTTTCATGGTATATATGAGCTGCAGATATCATGCTGGGCCAAATAAACAGCAATCCTGGGAGGAGTGGGAGGGGGCTGCTTCAGGGTAGTTTACACCAACAGACCCTACCCTTGCAGGCTGTGGATTTCCTTCTAAACTATCATAGCACCTAGCTGTGCCAAATGGGCGAGGGTCACTCAGAAGCACTAATGTGTCCAACGACAACAAAGTCTTAACAGTCCAACCTCAACTTCTGTGGGAGATACAGGTAGTCCAGGTCCTGAGGAAAGACAGGGCCAAGTCTAGGTGTGACCCTGGACAAGGTTCTTGTTACTTCGTGTCATGTAAGTTATACTCAGTTCTTCTCCAAGAAACTAGTATGAAGATTGCATTACAAAATGATGATGATGATGATGATGATGATGATGATGATGAAATACCAGGCTGAGAATGAAGCTCAGCAGTACAGCATTTGCCTAGTATATGTCTAAAAAGTTCAATTCTTACTGCCAAAAAACTTAGGAAATATTTGGTCTCAGTCAAACTGTAATCTAAATTGGTGATCAGAATGGCAGTCATGTCATGAAGTTACAAGTGGAGCAAAAAGCCAGGAAAGAAGTGCTAGTCTTACTCGGCAGCTCTTAGAGGAAGCCCACATGTCCAGAGCCCAGAGCTGAGGGTAGTTTGGTGGAACAGTCTATCTAACTAAACTTACTCATTTATGGTCTGTGTAATAGCCAATCATCTCTGCCTTTGGGACCTTCTTTCTGAGATGATCCTCAGAACACTCAGTCTCCAGTGCCATGCAGCACACTGGCATCTGATCTCAGGACTTCCCAACTCAGAGTCAAGCCTCACCCCTATTGGCATTTCTTCTCTCAGAAAAAGAGTTACCTTTGATTACTAACTGTGGTGGTTTGAATAAAAATGACCCTGATGGGTCCATAGGGAGTGGCCTTGCTGGAAGAGGTGTGTGTCTAGGGTATGGGCTTTGAGGTCTCAGAAGATCAAGCCAGTAGTTTCTCTGCCTGCTTCCTGCAGATCAAGATGTAGAACTCTCAGCTCCTTCTCCAGCACCATGTCTGCCTGCACACCACCATGACAATAATGGACTGAACCTCTGAACTGTAAGGCAGCCCCAATTCAATGTTTTCCTTTATAAGAGTTGCTGTGGTCATGGTGTCTCTTCACAGCAACAGAACCCTAACTAAGGTGAATCTACATCTAATTAACTACAACTACGTCTTAGGGTAACATTGTTGCTCTTAAACACAAACATCAGTAAATTGGAAGAAAAGTCAAATCTTCTAGAAATCATCAGTTTTTAAAACTAGTGAGTGGGCTGGAGAGGTGGCTCAGTGGTTAAAAGCACTAGCTGCTCTTGCAGATGGCTGGAGTTCAGCTCCCATCACCATCGTCAAGCAGTTCACAACCATCTGCAACTCCAGCTCCAGGGATCCAATACCCTCTTCTGACCTCTGCGGGTACCAGAACACATATGCACAACCTCCCTGTACCCCCACCCATATCCATACCTAAAAATGTTTAAAGTAGTAAGGATAATAACTAGTGTCAGCAGTTTATATATATATATGAATACTTGCTGTTCTTAACTAAGTTCAGTTCCCAGCACCTATGTCAGGTGGTTCACAGCCGTTTGTTACTCCATATAGTGTGTGTGTGTGCACACACACACATATTATATATATACACACACACAGATACAAACACACCCCATACAATAAACACATAAATAGATCCATGAAACAACTAAAAATATATACTAATAAAAGCTTGCAGGCTCACTTTAAGTAATAATCATTGTTTTTCAAAAGCAACAGCACTATATCCAAGAGTGTCAGGAAATATGTGGTAGTGTTTTGGGTTGTCACGTGCCTGGGAAATGGACAAAGTGGAAGGGATCAGATATGTAAAACATCCTGTCATGGTCAAACAGCACCACTGTACATTCTAATAGTGAGAGATACTAGTTACTACTCCAAAAGTTGATGGATCAGTCGGTAAAGTGCGTGTTAACCAGCATGAGGACTTGAGTTCAGATCCCCAGCGCCCATGTCAAAAGTGAAGGTGGTGGTACACACTTGTAATCCCAGTACTGGTGAAGAGCAAAGACAGGAGGAACCCCGGAGTTCCCTAGCCAGCTGATCTAGCCAAATTGGTGAGCTCCAGAGAAAAAAACAAAAGCAAACCAAAGACCAAGACGGAAAGCAGTAGAGGAACATTAACCCAATATTAACCTCTGCTCTCTATATGCACACACACACACACTCACGAACATACAGCATGCACACACAACCATTACCAGGCTCAGCCTCGGTTCATCTGTGTTCTTATTGCATGAACATCAATTTGAGAAATCTTTTCACATATAGAATCACGCCTTAAACTCTGTTATCACTTAGCTTAAGAACTAACAATGAGGAACAGGAGTGGTCTTGGAATTCAAGTACCCAAAAGGCTCTTACAGTTTTACTTAGATACATCTACGGAGCTGTGGGGCATTTGCTGGGTTTCCCCCAACAGAGCTGCCCAAAACCAAAGAAGGATGATAACAGGCAGTAAGTACTCTTGGAAATGAGGATACAGGTATAACAGTTTTACTCCCTACCTTTACATTTTTAACCTCTGATCTTCCTGCCCTGACCTTCTCAGGGCTGGAATTCAGGAAGGGGCCACCAAGCCCAGTTCATATCGTGCATGGGATAAAACCCAGGGCTTCATGAATGCTAGGCAAGCATTCTACCAACAGAGCTACATGCAGCTCCAGCCCAAACTGCCAAACTTCTAATATCTAAAATAGCGGCACTTTTTTTTTTTTTAATTTTTGACAGCAAAATGTAAACATACAATCAATAATTTATTTTGTATAAAAGAAAAGCAAAACAATGCTTACACTTGTAAAAATCGACACTGCTAGGCATGGTAGCACACACCTTTAAAGCCTTGCACTTGGAAGGCACAGGTAGGAGGATCTTCATGACTTTGGGGCTATGTAGTAAGACTGTCTCAAAATAAACAGGCCAGGTGTGGAGGCACAAGCCTACAATCCCAGCACTTAGGAGGTAGATTGGATCTTTTTTGAGTTTAAGGGCAGTCTGGTCTTCACAATGAGCACTAGACCAGGGCTACATGAGACCCTGTTCCCAAACAAAAGATACACGCCAAAAGCTGTCAGGGCAGACCTAAAAGGTGGGTTGGAGGACGGCAAGCAAGCTTAAGGTACCAGAGAAGACCAAACTGGGCCTGGCTTGCACTCTTGCAGCATGGTTCTATGCTACCCTACGGCTGTGGACTTTACCATGGGCAAGGCCGGCACGGTTGTGCTGGAGGCATCTCACCGAGCACACCAAGTTCATACGGGACATGACCTAAGAAGTGTGTGTGTGGCTTTGCTCCCCATTAACAGTGAGCTCTGGAGCTGCTCAATGTGGCCATGGATAAGCAGGTCCCAGAATTCATCAAGAAAAGGACAGATGTGCATCCACCCACACCAAAAGAAAGGAAGAGGAACTGAGTGAGAGTCCTCGCCACCATGAGGAAGGCACCACGAGCTGCCAAGATATAAGTCCCTTCTCTCCTCTGAGTAGTAAATAATTTCCGAAAACAACATGGAAGTTGTCTCAGATATATTCTGAAGTACTTTCAGATGAAATATGTATCTGAGATTTCCTTTCAAGTCCACAAAGAGCTAGAGAGGGAGCTCCGCAGAGAGCACTTGACTAACACTCAGAAGAGCCTGGCCTCCACCCCCAACACCACAGGGAAAATAAACAATAAAACAAAGACAAATCAAACCACATAAAAGTGGGTTTAAAGTGGTAGGTAAGAGAGCAGATGGAACAAGACTGGTCATGAACAAGCAATTGTTGAGGCTGAATGAATAAATCCATGGAGAGTCACCATACATTCTTATTATATTTCTTTGTAAATTTTAATGAAAAAAAAAAAAAGCAAAATAAATAAGTAAGTAAAGCTGAGTTCAGTTCCACATCAACAGAGAGAGGCTCACAACTCCCTGTAACTCTGGCTCCAGAGGATCCGATGCATTTATCTGGCCTCTTCTGGCACCCGCAAACATGTGGAATGCATTCAAACAAATGCACATGAAAATATAAAAAAAAAGAAGAACAAATAGAGATGGCTGGAAAGATGGCTTAGCAGTTAAGAGAACTTGCTACTCTTGAGGAAGACTTGGGTTCAGCTCCCAGCACTCACACAATGGCTCACAACTGTAACTCTAGTCCCAGGGGATCCAATACCGCCTTCTGTCCTCCTTGGACACCAGGCATGCACATGGTGGGCATATAAACATATTTATTTCCATGCCTCTAATAGAAGCATGGGGATGAGGGGTACAGTAAGAGGACTGTGAATCTGAATATAGCCTGACCAGTCGGCCTAGACAACTTAGGAAGACTATCACAAGTGAAAAATAAAGAGAGTCCTGGGAAGACAGTATAGTGGTAGAGCACTGGCCTTACTCATGTAAGACCCTTGTCCAAACACGAGAACCAGGAAGAAAAGCCATAGGCATTCTTAAAATTTCAAGACACGAGTTGACCTTTTAGAATTTCTAGAAACTGGTCATACAGACATTCAACAACGGAGAATATTAGTCTTAGTATCTATCTGTAGGAGTTGGGAGTGATAGCTCAGCAGTTAAGAAAGGCTTGAATTCAGTTTCCAGCACCCCCATCAGATGGATCAAATCCACCTAGAACTCCAGCTCCAGGGATCTGACATGTTTTTCTGGCCCCTGTGGGTACTGCATTCATGTTTACAAATTGACTTTCAGACATACATTTACACTTAATTAAAAATAAGCTGGGCCGGGCGGTGGTGGCGCACGCCTTTAATCCCAGCACTCGGGAGGCAGAGCCAGGCGGATCTCTGTGAGTTCGAGGCCAGCCTGGGCTACCAAGTGAGTTCCAGGAAAGGCGCAAAGCTACACAGAGAAACCCTGTCTCGAAAAACAAAAACAAAAACAAAAACAAACAAACAAACAAACAAACAAACAAAAAAGCTGGGTGGTGGTGGCTCACGCCTTGAATCCAGAGGCAGGAGGATCTCTGTGAGTTCAAGGCCAGCCTGGTCTACAGAGTGAGCTCCAGGACAGCCAAGGCTACACAGAGAAACCCTGTCTTGAAAAACAATGTGTGTATCTCGAAAAAACCAATAAGTAAGTAAATAAGCAAGTAAGTAAATAAATAAATAAATAAATAGAAAGAAAGAAGCCGGGTGTGGTGGTTCACGCCTTGAATCCCAGCACTCGGGAGGCAGAGGCAGGAGGATCTCTGTGAGTTTGAGGCCAGCCTAGTCTACAGAGAGAGATCCAGGACAGGCACCAAAACTACACAGAGAAACCCTGTCTCGAAAAAACCAAAAAATAAAAAAATAAAAATAAAGAAAAACTGTGTGTGTGTGCGTGTGCGTGTGTGTGTGTTTAAGATTTCTCATGGAATCCAAGACAAGAAGTACTACAAACCAGCAGCTAGCCTGGGCTACAAGAGACTGTCTCACAAACAAAAGACAGCAGCAAGCAGCCGCTCCACTCTAGTACTGGGAATCTAACAGCTACACAGATTTCAAAGTCTAATTCATTTACAGCTGTACCCTATGTGCCAGAGCAAGGTGTAATGCGAAAATACAGTCTCTACCATCTCCTACCCACAGGAACAGGGTGAAGCAAAAGCTTAGAACTTCAGAAGACCAAATGCAAACCTTTCCAACCAGCTGGTTCTCCCTAGGGAAGGATACAGATCCACTAGAACACACAGAGCAGTCTACACACACATGTATGCATGCACAGACACACAATTCTTAGAGAACAGGGAAGAATAATTGGCAGAGTGAACTTACGTAATTGCAACATTACTCCCATCTATAACAATATGCTTCAAATCTGCTCTCCCTGGTTCATTTTTTAACTCCAGCTTGTATGGTATTTTTAGGGTATCTCGAAATCTTTGAACACCCGTAACTGAGGAATCGATATGATCAGAGGATCCTGCCAACCGTGTATCAGTAACTGAAGGTAACAGCTGGGGCAGCGGCATCGGTGGGGAAAGCGGGGGATAATTTGGCTTAGGCTGAGGAGAGCTACAACAGCCAGAACGTTTTTCACAGGCAGACTTCATATTATTTGGAAGCAAGGGTTCTGCTTGCTGCTGAAGACCATTTTCAGGAAAAGCTGGGCTTCTCTGTTGGTGACCTGCAGCTCCCCTCGAAATGAAGCTGACTTCTTTAGGACTGGAAGAGGCAGCAGAGGGTGAGAGGCCATCAGTCTCAAGGTCTACATTACAAGTGTAGTTCTGGTTTGAGCCCCACATTTCATGTTTCTGTCCTACTGGCACTGTTCTGAAAGAATTAATTCTGCAATTTGAGGTACACGGTTTAGGGTCTTTGAACGGTAACTGGGAAAATCTTTCCACTATATCTTGCTCTGTGTGACTCTGTGTTTTCTTTGGAGTAGACTCTGTTGTGAGCTCATGTGTGCTGCTCCCAACACCCGCACTTCTGCTCTGCCCGGCATCTGGATGCACAGTGCAAGGTGGAAATGCTCTGTCTTCTTGGGGCCTTTTGTTCTCCTTTTCAATTTCCTCTAAGAGCAATAATGGTTCTGTAGAAGGCCCGTACTCCCTAATGACCTTTTCAACAATCTCTTGGGAATAGCCCATGGTTTTAAAGAAGTTTACAAGGATGTTGTATTCCATTTCTTCTGTAGTGTCTTTTCCATCGGGGCTTAGATTTGTAGAGTTAGAAGCAGCATCACACAGGTCAATGACTTCATTTCCAGCTGATGCTTTACCATCATGCAAAAGCTCCCCTTCTAGAACATTCTCTAAGGAAAACTGCTTCTTGGTATGCCTTTCTTCTGTATCAGAAGACCTCCTCTTGTGACAAACCCTGTCTTCGGAAAGTGCGTCTTCATCTGGACTTAGACCATTTACTGGAACAAAGAGCACATCTGGAGAGCTAGACAAGACTGTGTCCATTTGTTTTGTAAGCTCAGAAACAGGGGTCCTAGCTTCACTCCTGGGATCTTCCTGTAAAACAACTTCATCTCTAGCAATACTCGGTCCTGTGGCAGCATTCTGCGTCAACTCCGGTGGCCGCATCTCTCCAATTTTAATGACTTCATCATCTTCTGTTTCAAACAGATTCTCTTCACCTCGTGTGAGACTCAGTAGTTCTTTCTTCAAGGAAGTAGGCAAAATCAGCAAATCCATTGTATAATTGTCTGCATGGGCTTCAACAAACTGTCTGAATTCCCGTTTGATCTCCGACTCTCTCTGACTACTGGGCAGGTTCTCATTATTCTCAAAGAGCTTCACAAACTGCTGAATATGACTCCTGGCCATGACCACAGCCTCAGCACTTCCTCTAATGCCAAGAAGCCCCGTATCTAAAATGCAGAGGTCAGCACAAGTATCCTGAATGAGGCTCTTTAAAAATAGGCTCTGTGCCCCTACAAAAATGCAGTGCATGGCCTTGGGGTAGCATTCTCTTTCTTCCAGTTCAGGCTCACAGATCCCTTTGATATACTCCTGTAAAGAGAAGACAAAATTAGACAGATTTACCAGATTCCTTAGTACAAGGACCTACAATAGCCAGGACCTACAAATGACTTTTTTTTTTAAATCATTAAGCATATTTATAATTTGGAGTAAAATTCCTTGACTTCAATTAAAAAAAAAATAACAGCTACGAACTTTTGTTGTGTGTTGGGGTGGGGGGCTGTTCGTCTGTTTCACTCTAAACTATTTAATCACCTTTGGAGGAACTGAAACTTTGTATAATCTACAGAGTGGGAATGCATAACCTTTTCACTGCGTCTTCCACTGTGATCTTAGGGGCTTGCCTAGCTACACATTGGATAATCCCAAGGCTGGATTCATTTACAGCTAAAGGACATCTCCTGCTACCCAGTCGTTTGTCACAAGGAGGACATAGCCCCAAGATGAGATCATCAGATCAGTGAGTGACAAGAGAACACCACTGGTTTGCAGATTCAACAAAAATGATCACCCTGTTTCCAGGTTCCTTGAAGACATTTAGGAACAATAAGATTCAAGTATAACCAGCACACTAGTAGGACTTCCCCTGGCTGCTACTGAAGAAGGCTTTAGTAAGATTAAGCAAGGGAACTAGTGAGATGGGTCAGAAGTGAAAGAACTCGCTGTCAAGCCTGATGATGACCTGAGGACCCACACGGCAGAAGGACAGAATCAACTCTGTGACCTCTACACACATGTTGTGGCAACGTACACCCCCCCACACACACACACACTCACCTCATAAGTGTAGTAAAATTTTTAAGAGAATTAGTTTCTTTAGCAAGTAGGTTGCTACTAGAAACAAAAATGAGTCAAGCAAGTGAACACACAAACACACACACACCCCACACAGTGAAACACATTTGTTAACATACCCACCAACTTTAGCTCTGGAATGTGTTGGTCTCAAATTCCAAAAATACTACTGGTGTAGACTTGCTCAAGTTACCCAACCAAACGCAGCCTGGTTTCTTCAACGGCAGAGGTAAGAACAGTGCAGTCATAGAGGGTTAGGGGAGTTAAAGTCCTTACAAGACACCGTGTCACACGGCGAGACTGTTACTCCATGTGCACAGACCCTGGTGAAGTGAGATCTGACCTATACTTTCAACTGAGATTAGAAAAGCGTCACAAAAGCAGCAGTATTTAAAAGCTCTGCCTGTGAAGCACCAGTCAGGAGTTTTTCCAGCTTGAACTTAATATACACTTGCTGCTGATGACCACATGCCTTCAGTTAGAATCCACATTCAAATATATATACCTAATATTTGTGCATTTATAATTTAGAATCACAAAATCTCTGAGTAGATGAAACAGTAGAAATGAGGAAATTCCCATCCAAATAGTATGATACATTTCCAGGCTTTCACTGCTCCTGTGAGTCTTGACTGTACTGGGGTTTGTATTCTTGAGGATGAAGCACAGGAGTCTTGTCTTTTTAATAAGCATGATTTTCTACTTTGTTAACAGGACAATTTAGTCTTATGTTAATAACCGATCATCTTATGTTGTGGGAATTCTGCCGTTCGGTACAATGACCAATTGAATGGCGTAGTTCAGCCTAATAGGCGTGGTCTTCTCTGAAGATACTGACCCTTTAGGAACCCAAGGAGGGGGGTCGTTCTCTCTCTATTGGACTGTAGAGGGACTTGCTGAAGCCACGGAGGAAGTAAGGCTTGGTGACCTTCTCCATCGCCCATTGGGAGCAAACAGCGGGAGTAGGCGACAGATGTGCCCCCAGCAGAAACAGAGGGACAGCTGTTACTCTGCCGGACTCTCCTTTCTGACCTGTAATCATTGTGCATGGATTTGTCTATTTAATAAAGGTAACACATTTCCCCAAGACTCTCTCCATAGTTTAATCTTCCTGAATATCCAAGCCGTGTTAAATACTGATGCCAGCAGCCTTAGAGCTCCAAGTGGGATCTGGGGATGTGGCTTAGCTAGTGGAATGCTTGCCGAGCACGAACCAGGGCCTGAGTTCAACCTTGTTACCATAGAAATCAGGCATGGTGGTGCATGTCTATAACTCCAGTACTCAGGAGGTTGGGGCAAGGGGACCAGAAATTCAAAATCATCCTCAGCTGCACAGGGTAAAGGCCAGCCTCAGCTACATGAGACCCTAACACAAACAAACAGTTCTCTTTCCAATTACTACAACTTGTTTGAACTTATTCTATATTTACATATGGCTTTAAAAATATTTTTATAGGGGCTGGAGAGATGGCTCAGCAGTTAAGAGCACTTGCTGCCCTTCTAGAAGACCCAAGCTTGATTTACAGCACTCATGTTGGGAGGTCAAAACAGCCTGTAATTCTGATTCCAGAGGATGGGACACCTTCTTCTGACCTCTGTGGACACCAGCACATACATTTACATACACCCACCTCCCTACCACATATACATAGACTGAAAAATAAGTTCTTTAAAAGGAGAAAATATTTTTATAAGGCACTTTATCTTGAGCTAATAGTTTCACAAGAACTAATTTTTTAAGGTAATATACAGACTGCACTCCATCTAACCTAACCACCACATCTGGATGATGATACCATAAGAATCAGAACATCTGCATTGCACATGAGCCCACAGATCTAGACTACTATATCACATGGTTTTATAAAACCATTACCTTGCGTCAATGTTTAGAATTATTCTATTACCACAAAGATTGCCTTTATCTTTTTATGGTCACACCATCCTACTTTCAATCTCCTGATAGTCATTCATTTGTATTTGTTTTCAAATTCAAAGTTTTGTGACATTATTAATGCTATGAAAATGGAATTATACAATATTTGGCTTTAAACATTTCAGCACATGTAAAGTACTGGTCTCTCAGTGCACAGGCCTCACTGCCCCCATCACCTTTCTTACTGTAGCCCTCTACCTCCACTGCACCCCTCCTCGCTCGCACGCCTGTTTAAATCCAGGGTCAACATGAGAATATGTGATATTTATCTTTTTACCCACCTGCTTCCTATCCTCCTCTCCTACCCAGCTCCCTTAGGTCCCTTACTCTCCTCTTACCCCATAGTCCTAGGTCCTTTCTACTTTCCTATTTTAAGGTTGGATAAATGCACCCCATTTCCTCTACCCATTCGTCTGTTGATGGGCATCTAGGCTGGTTCCATAACTTAGTTATTGTGAATTCTGCTGCAATAAGCATGGATGTGAGTGTAGTGATGGTGACTTTTCATTCAACATGATGCTCTTAAAACTTAAGATGTTGCAGCTGGAAATGGTGGCTCATACTAGAGACTGCAAAGAAGGGAGACCAAAGCAAGACTGTCATGAGTTTGAGGCCAGCCTTGGCTATACAGTGAGACCTGTCTCAAACAAACAAAACAAAACAGCATAAAGAAAAATAAAACTGCTAAGAAGAGTCACGTTCAGGTTTTCATGTGAGCTTCAGCTCTCTAGGATCAATGCTGAGGGGCACAACTGCTGGTTCACATGGTAAACACATACTTAGTTCCCCAAGAAGTTACCCAACTATTTTTAGTTTGCTACACATTTTACAATACCCCCAAAATGTATGAAATCCAGTTTCCCCAAAACTGTCAATTTTTAATAGCACTTGTTTCTATTTTTGACATCTCAGTAAGAATATGGTATACCTTATCTCAGTTCCCGTTTTCCTCCTGATTAGTGACCTTGATCATCTTGCCTCATGCTAGTTGTCCTCTCCAGTGAAATGTCTTATTCTTTTGTCTGTCTCTAATTGGACTGGTTTTTATCACTGAGTTTTGAGAGACTTCTTTGAACATTCTAGTCTTTTGTAAGAAATGTGGCTTCCAGGGGCTGGAGAGATGGCTCAGAGGTTAAGAGCACCAACTATTCTTCCAGAGGTCCTGAGTTCAATTCCCAGCACCCACATGGTGGCTCACAACCATCTGTAATGAGATCTGGCACCCTCTTCTGTATACATAATAAATAAATAAACCTTAAAAAAAAAGAAAGAAAGAAATGTGGCTTCCATCTGTTTTATAGCCATCAGTAGTCATCTTCCCGTATCTTCCCCACTTTGAGACAGGATTTCATGTAGCCTAAGCTGGTCTCTAGCACACCTGGTCTACATGGAGCTGGAAATGGAACCTATGGTTTCAGGCATGCTAGGCAGAAACTATTAACTGAGCTACATCCACAGATCCTTCTTCCCATTATCTATGAATTAACAGGGTACTTTGTGGTGGGGAAAAAAAAATTAAATTTGAAGAAAGTGTCGCTCGTGTCTTTCTTCACTAAGCCCCAGCTTGCTCCACTCCCTACATCTTCTTCTACAGGTTTTATATCGAAGAGCCAAGGCTTTAGCTCAGCAACAGCACGCCTGCTGAGGCAAGCACAATTCCTGACTTTGCTTCTCAACACTGGATGAAGGAGGAAGGGATTTGTTTTCTTTTTTCTAAAGACCACACACACACACACACAAAAAGGGTGGTGGAAAGCTGAGAAGTTTGAACACTAGCTGCTCTTCCCGGGGGACCCAGGTTCAGTTCCCAGCCTCACCAAACAGCCATGTTACTAGAAGGTCTTTACAGAGCACTCCATCCAAAAGCCCAAGTAAGTTCTTCTCAAGAACCCACAGAACTATCAAGATAAACCTTATGCTGACCATGAAACAAATCTCAACAAATTTAGAAGAATTGAAACTATGTAGAATGATCTCACCACAAAATAATCAAACAAATCAGTTACAGACAAGAAAAATTCCCAAATGATTGGGAATTAGAAACAGTACCCTTCTAAGTAACTCACAGGTCAGGGGGATTTCCTTTTTCTGTTCCTTTCTTTGGAAGGGTACGCATCTTCCAGATGTGAGCTCTTTTTTATAGTGCTGGGATGAAGCCAGGGCCTTAGTCATGCTAGGTAAGTGTCTGCTGCTGAGCTGCACCACAGCTCCTCTAGGGAAGTCTCTTGGGAATACATTGAACTAAATGAAAAAATATGAAATATCAAGGCACAACTGGAGCAGCACTGAAAGGGATGTT